GGTGATGCTGGAGCAGAAGCCACACTTCCAAACACCATCTTGCACGTAGTGAGTCGGCGGTAAGCCATACTTAGAATGTGGTATGAAGTAAGAGGTAAAGGAAGAAGGAAAAGTGAAGTTAAAAACTTTCCCATCAGCCCGCACATCGAACGCACCGTGAGCACGCATGACGTCACGAATTTCACTGACGATCGTACTGTCGACAGATGGAACCGGGCCCCGGGTTTTTAAAAAGGTAAAGGAAGAGGGAAAGTAGCGCTAAAAGCGTTACCCGTCAGCTCACACCTGGCTGCGTTCGATCTGTCGACAGCACGTTGGTCAGCACCAATCACGACTCAGTATTCGCCCTACGTCACGTCATGTGACGACAAAGTCACGTGGCCTGTTACGTCACGCGCCGGCTGACGATGATGCCCGGAATTTTTGTCAGCTTATCAGCATGGGGAAGCGTTAACAGACTAAAGGATGATTCTAACTGAAGCGAGAATGTATTTTAGTAGCTTTTGCGTCGGCGAGAACGTGAGGTGTGGTGGGGGCACTTGTCTCTAATTTTGGGGTAAACGCGACGCCAGATAGATAGGAAGGGAATTGAAATGCAAAGAGTAGTCATGAAAAGGTGAGTGGCAGTGATTGGTGTGGTGTGTGGTTGCAATGCCAATCAAATTAATAGCGTTCAAAGTAAATCCGTAAAATGAGAGGAGAGAAATTAAAATAAATTGGAAATGGGAAGAAGCACCCAACGCACGGACAGCATAGATAATGGAAGCACTGGAGCAGAGGCCACACTTCCAAATACCACTTCGTGCGAAGTGTGTCCGCGGTAAGCCAGAGTTAGTGTGTGGTCTGAAGTAAAAGGCAAGGAAAGAAGGGAAAGTAAAGTTCAAAAACTTTCCCGTCAGCCCACACATCAAACTCACCGTGAGCACGCATGATGTCACGCATTCCAGCTGACAATCGTGCTGGCGTCGGATCGAACGGAGCCAGGCCCACACAACACTGCATGCATGGGGTAGGAGCAGGGAGCCAGGGGGCCACGTTCCCCCACTTTTCAAGGTGGGGGAGGGGCCAGCGGCGTTAATTGCTCCCCCCCATGCACTTTTCAGATGAAGGTTTTATTTAGCTTACCTTTGCACTACATTAAAGATACATGCCGATTAACATGTTTCACCAGCCATCTTCCTGATGATGCACCTTTTTTTCGTTTGCTCATTGGCCATCGTTTAATGTCACAGCCGAAAGACCGACGACGCACGGTCTAGGAGACTGCAACGCCGGGCGTCGAGACCGTTGTTACGAAGACTTGCGAGCGCCCGTGTTCAAAACCATAGTGTATAGTTTCATCGGTAGTCAATTCTGACGGAATCTCGAACATGTAAAGATAAAGACGGATAAGCCTTGTTGATAGAAATTTAAGACCCCCTTTCATGTACAATCTACGTTCAGGGGATCCTTAATATCTCTGAAGAACGCAATAAGCATGGAACTGGAGCCTGCGTGACAACCATCGGACCACCTGCGGCGATCAGGGGTGTTGTCGCGTCCATGAGGGTTCCTGTATTGATCCGGGGCCAACTGCGCGGGTCAGAATGCATCCCGTATCAGGAAGGGGGACAATGCGATATGATAGTCCTTCTAAAGGCCTCCGGTTCGGCCAGGAGGTCCTGCCCCGAGTCGCCAGAATGGCAGCCAGAAAGACACTTCGCGATGGGACGGAATGACCCTTCAGCCCTTAACAGGAAACGATAATGTACTCCCGGTGTTCTACTCAAGGGGCCCCTTGCCCAGAAGGAAATGAGGGTCTCATTATTGTTGGGTAGAGTCAGAGCCTCAGTGTTGTTGAGTAGAGTGAGGGCCTCATTATTGTTGAAGAAAGAGGGTCGAAGTGAGCATGAAAAAAACAAAATACCATCCCATGTTTACCTGAGAACGTTCATTTTTTCAGAATGGATCAGTGAGACAAGAATATGTCCGCCCTCAACCTCGCGAACGAGAACAACGATGGTCCGGGCTGCAGCTCCCGTAAAACCGAACGGCTTCGGCCACCTCGAGTGCCATCAGACGGCGGGCACCGTGTTAATATCTCTTAGATATATAAGCTATGTCACATAATATATCACACAATAAGCCATGTCGCAAAGCGCATTAATCGCATTAATCGATTCAAGTGTTTAAAGGTAATTACTTCAGAAGCGTCATGATTTTCGTCCATCGGTGGGCCAAGGCTTATAGCTGCTGGATTAACTCTGCGCGGACTACGGAGACTGCAACGCCTGGTGTCGAGTTTTTTGTTGCGAAGATTGGCGAGCGCGCATGTCAAAAAGCCACGTTACATAAATTGTATTTCTAATCGATTCTGAATGAATGCTGACCATTTCCAGACAAACATGGTTTCATCATGGTAATACACGTTGTTGACCATTCGATCGGCAATCAAATTTTCGTCCTCAAATTTGGATCAAACAGATCGATCTAATCTACATTCGCGATGCCCTTAATGCCTGTAAAACCCAGATAAAACATTCTAACAAAGCTTCTGAGTTTTATCGGTTTAGAAACACTCCACTAGGCCATTGTAAATCAAGGGTGCCGGTGATTTATTCCAAGCGGTCGTTCTATGCTCAATTTCTGCAGGTCATTGATTTCAAAATGTAAACTGAATTGATCTCAACGCAGCTCCTGGTTTCTGTTCGGTTACAGGATAAAAATAGCAAGATAGCAAAGAAAACCATGTCCCTTGTTAACTAGTAAGCTATATCCGGGTTCTTTTCGGGGGTTCACCTTAAGAGGGGCTTTTGTCCACCCTGTGTTCTTTGGCAGCATTGAATGATGGGCAGTGCAATGTCCATGGGGCTGATTCATGCCTAAGGCAGGCAGCTTTCCGGAGGCTATTTTTCTGCGGTGGTGTGGTGCAAGGGAAGATAATTCGGAGGAAAAGATACTGTTGCAAATGTCCAACATATGTTTCACACACCAACTAGTTGTAATACTGACCGAGAAATATAGAGCAAAGCATCCACGCGATCAGTTCGCAGTCAGTCATGCGGGAGACAGCCGGGTCAGGGCAGTGGCCGCCAACGGCGGACGGGAGCGGGGACCAGATAAGGGACATATGACAGACGGGTATTCACTATGTGGCTTGGTTTTTTCAGGAGAATCTCCAGTTTTATGGCTTTTGTCACGTTGATTTTGGCAATTTCAGGCTTCCGGATTTGTTTCCGCCTAAAAGGCTGCAAAAGTCCTTTCTTCTAAAAATCAGCCAGCGAAATGAAGGCGCGTGAAATATCTGTCGCACGGTGAGCTATCGATTTACTTTCAAAATTCTCACCAGCCATACTTTTGGCAATAACCCTGCGGAGGCAGATGCCTCCCCGATGGCCCAAAATGCCTACCGGCTCGTAGAATTTTGCCTCCCCAGCAAAGGCAATGTTGAAATGGACGAATAATCTTGGGAAGCTGGAGAGCCTTATTTGCCGAATGACGTAGGTGAGCCGAATGGGCAAGATCGTGCGCCAGTGAGAAGCAGCTCTAGATGCATATCTAACATAGCTGCCATGACACTTGAATAAAGGGCGATAACAACCTCTATCTCCTCTCCCCCTCCCGGTCTTCCGGCTTGCTTTCCAGAAAAAAGTTCCTGAAGTACACCCTGGGCCCGCTCTTCTCCCTCACACTTTTTGAAACGTTCCTACGCTTATGACTGAACACCTTTTTTGCCGCGAAACCAACATCGCCTCATCGTCTGCTAACTGATAGAAGTTTTGGGGGACTTGGCACTTGTCCCGTGAGCCCGGCGTCCGGTCAGCACCGGGGGCACATGCTTGGAGACTAGGGACAATCGCAGCACAGGCAACAACCCTCGGGACAATGCACGCGTGCTTCTTGTGCAATGCATTGCGCTTTAGTACTCTTTGATGCTCATTTGCGTTCCAAAGTCGTTTTTCATTTTGCCAGTTTCTATATTTAGGATTTATTGACCTGCTAATTATCCACTCACCGCGTTTTTCACTTCGCCAGTTTCTATATTTGAGATTTATTGACCTACTGATTATCCACTCAGCCGCGGTTCGACCACGGTTTACCATTGGGCGAGTGCATCGCCTACTTGCACCCCGTTACTGCGGAGGGATCATTCCAATTGCTATCAAACGGTCCAGCCAAATTCTTACATACCGCACTTTACATCCGCAGTGACACCTAAGAAGAGTTTCTGAACATCCTGAGTGCGTGTAATAAAACATGCCTGGATACATACCGTTGCAGCACGATCATAAGTTATGGGTGTATTGTTTTGGCATACTACTAGTAGCACATAATGGGGTTAGGCAATGGGCCAAAGGTGGGGACGGCCGGGCCTAATAGTTTTATAAGGTGATACATATACAGCGGCCATGGGCGAAATGTACAAGCTGCCGAAACTGGCACACTTGCGCTCCTACCTCTCTATGCGGCCGAATCCATAAGCATACTATATGCATATATATTACAACTGGCTTGTGACTGCTCTTAGTCCCATGTGTCACCACGTAAAAGCTTCACTACAACTGATGTGCGACATGACTGGTTGACTGCTTCAAGAGTCTGAAACACACATGATATATCCATGTCACATCCACACGGTCTCAATGGCATGGGACTCCATGCCACACAGCCATGGTCGTCCATGTTGTTATGTGCGTGCATAGCATTATACAAAGATATGTACAGTGTATGCTCGTCGGCATCCACTCACAGCACCAGTGACGTCATCGCTGGAGCCTGCCTAGAGGATCTCACACTTCCCGTCCGCTCCATCAGCCGCGGCAGGTGACGCGCTTTCCTACGCTGGCTACTCGACGGGCTACTCGACGAGGTGCGCGGTCACATGGCGGAGACATGCCGCAACTCTGCTGGTCTCCGTCGGCAGCTGGTCTGTGCTTCTCGCGGAATGCTACTGGGCATGGTGGCGACAGAGTGGACTCGTCTGCCGCCATCTTTGGTTTTGCAGGCCGGCAGCGAGCGGCACCGCGGGCGGGTCCATCAGTCGCTCGAGTCTTCGGCGGGGATGGCCAGGTCATCGTCTCCCTCGATGCCGTCACTCTCTTTGATCAGGGCCTGCTCCAGGATCACGCGACCCTCCTTATACCTGAGGAGAAAACGGCGCACAGTGATCGGCAGACAGCTTCTGGGTTCTGTTCGACGGTTTCCGAGCTATCCGGAGATAAAATGGCAGGGTATCTTTTCTTCATCGTGCGTGGCGTCATTACGTAACGCTAACTCTGTTCCCGAAAGTATTTCTAGACCACCCCGAACACTGAGATTTCGAAGACGGGCGTTCACGGTACGCGAGAGCCGGGCGGGCCGCAAGCATAACCGCTGAACTGTTCCCAGTGCTGAAGCCAGCGCCGCGGGTAACCAGCGCCTGTCACCACCCCACCGCGGTTCCAACCAGCCGCCACCAGGGTCGCCGACCGCCCCGCCTCACCGCTGCTGCTCCTCGGTGGCGAACTCGTAGATCCAGCCGAGCTTGGTGTCGCAGTACTTGCAGGACACGTCGCGCACCATGTGTCGGCCGGTCAGCATCTGGCGCTCCTGGATCTCGCTGTAACGGCCCGCGTCGACGCCGGGTCAGCGGTCTCGTGCCAGCCGAGGCTCGTCTCTTCACGGTCAGCGGGGGGGGGGGGGGGGGCATGAGGCAGACAAGATGCAAGCGGTCATCAGGGCATGGCTGTACGTCAGGAGTTCGGACATGGGTGCATATAGGACGAATGGCGTGGCTGCATGTCATCAGTTCGGACAGGGGTGCATAAAAGACGGATGGCGTGGCTCCATGTCCGCAGTTTGGGCGGGAGTGCATGCAGGACGGACGGACGGCATGCAGGACATGTAGGAATGCGACCCATGGCTGCCGGCCTGCTGCTATTTACCGGGTGTCTTGTTATGTTCGCAGAATGCTACACATCGCAGGCTCGACCACTTGCCTGAGTGATGGCTTAGCAAGGGAACGAAGCATTCAACGAATGAGTCCCACAGCTTACATATGCTGACCACAACTTGACGACAGTTTATCGTTTGACATTCCACATTGGGAGACTGTTACATTCCACATTGGGAGACTGACTAAACAGCCCCCCGGCGGTTTAGTTTGGTGTAACTGAAAACTGGGCGATTTACACAAGTTTCGGTTTGCACATCAGGTCGAAAAAGCACTACCCGTAATCGTTTGCATTCTGACATTGCATGTCCGGGGAAAGGAGCATTCACGACATGTTTGATCGCAACGAATAAGTTCCAGCCTCAAGACACTACACGAGTAGCACATAGGTATGGTGTAGCACCTGCAACAGTACTGAGAACGCACCCTGTGCGGTGAAAGCAAACATAAAGGGTAATGTCCGGTACAAATCGTACCTACGGATGAAACACAGCCACAGCTCTATAATATGCATACAGCCCTATGATATATATGAAACATCGCTAGCATCAAACATCGTAGATGTGGGTATCGAGTGAGCTACAAAAAAGCAAGTACAACGATATAATCGCTATGTAATTAAGGGTCCCCAATGGATTTCGATTTTCCCCCGCGAAACGGTGTCATGTTTATGGTTGCTCGGAAATATGCCTTTCCATCTTCAAAACGTAAACAAGACACTAAAGGGGCCACTATAAGAACCCAAATGAGTACAAAGCAGTCCCAAAAAAAAACTGAAATGCACTACAATGCAGTAAAGACATGCTATGCAGATAATCAAATCAGTGCTAGCCTCGCCCTACTCGTTGCGTAACAAAACACGAACGTCCAGAGAGGAGGACCCCACTTTCCCGTCATCACACCACCTGAGCCTATCATCCCACCCAGCCCACGACGCTCGCCAACCTGAACTTGAGGTTGACCACGTCCGTGAAGAGGAAGGCGCGCCCTGTAGAGCCCGTGAAGCGGGTGCTGATCAGCTTGCTGCGATTGGTCAGCACCGTGTTGCAGTTGCGGCAGGAGAACAGCCGCTTCCCGCCGATGTGTCGCAGATACACACGCCCCATTCTGGTCTCTGGCGAGGTAATGGAGGTAGGTAGGCATCAATAGACATCGCTCCTTATATGCCATTTCAATACAGATGTATCCAGTCGCCCGTTGAATATTTTGCTTTCAGCTGCGCAGCTCGTATTAGGGTAAACATGATAGCATGATTTGCCGCCTTGATAGTCTGGAAAAAAGGTTGGCCACCTTGGTAGTGCCAAAGATGCTGGACTCTTAACTGCAGTAGCACTTGGCACAGTTCCCAGAAAGGACACATTGTTTGACGAGACTGATATGAAAGCATTAGTTTTTAACTGGCCAGCCAAGGCTGGGGCAGCCGGGCCATAGCATTATGCAGCAAGTAACATGCACCATAGTCCTGCCAGACAAACTGGTGAAGACAAGATGACATGTTGGACTGCACACTGGGGTGGTGAGTTCAGGGCACATGCAACAAGGTATGCTTAACAGATACCCTGAACCCAAAGCCACTGATGCAAGATGTTTAAATTTGTTTTACAATGATTTACATGCTACAGAAATGCAGATATTCTAACCTAAAAACAATAATTGTAAATAGCATAGATGGATAGCATAGGGTAAAGACACCATAGCATAGCTCCAGAGTAATGTAAAAACAGTGAAATGCACTCATTTCTGCTGAAATCACACCTATGAACAATTTTCTGCAGTCATAATCATCCCCTATGAAGTCGCATCACTTCAGAAGATTTTAATTTTTAAAAAAATAAGAACTTAATTATTTCCAGCCAGGTTTTGAGCTCTCCCCCAGATCTCAAAACCTGCCATGGTTTGCAGGGTGGTACACCTCAAGCTGACACCCAACATAAAGCTAATCAAAGGCCATTAAATTTTTCTTCTGGCAATTTTGAGCCATGTCATGTTTAGCCACTTTCAGCTCTAGTTTCCATGGCATACCCCAGTTCTACATGTTTTTCTATGATTCTTAATCAAAGTTCACCTGCAGCTGAGACCATGAACATGGCTATAAATATTGAGCACTTCCATAGCAGACATCAAAGATCTACTGGTAACCATTTTTACACAGGAATACCTGTTATAAGAATTGCCCATAATTTTCTCCTTAATATGCAAACTTTCAAAAATGGGCTTTAGCATACACTCTTTTAGGCCAACAACCTATGGCTGAGTTAAAAGACATGCAGTAGTAATCAAACACAATATGTTTAATGTATTCTAAGATATACTTCTCCAAGCGTTTACAAGTGACAGAAATCAGCCATTATTCAGGATAGCACTGCAATCGCTTCTGCTGACCCAAACGTGGAACCCGCCATGGCTTGGAACTGCATCTGGCTACGATCAAATGTCATGGGAACGGTCCCCTTCCCGATAAAAATATGAAATAATTTCAGGACCTCGCCTTTATCGAAAGAACAGTGACTTGAAACGGCGATAAAAACATCATCACCGCCGCTACCCTCAAAGCCCCTCTTACTCTCTGAATGACGACGCCAGACCAACTGCTGCTCTGCTCCTGCTCACAGCTGCTCCTTTGTTGATATTTTCGTTTGACGCACATGCCCAAGGTCGCCCTATCTGGCGCTAATGTTCGATATCAACGTGTGAGCGTTGCTTTCATGAAAATGACAAATCAAAAAGCGGTATCGTCGCTTTTAAGGCATAAGCTGTGACTAAGTGCATCGAACAACAATGGGAAGTAACAAATGAGCATGGTGCAAATGTAAACAATTCGTGACATGTGTAGGTGCTGGCCAATGTATGTTGGTACTGCCAGGTACGGTGGTCCCGGGGTCAGGGTGTACTTTCCTACCTAACGTTAGAAAAAATCATTGTACACCATTCGTCGTGTTTAAGGCATGACATATCGTAAATAATCTCAAAACAGGTAGAATCATGCTCCTACCTTCGAATTTCAATAACTTCGATGGCGGGCCCCCGAGCGCCGCGCGCACCGCACCGCCTGGACTCCCCAGCGCCGTTTCCGCGTTGCCGTTGCGTAAATACAATATTTCTGCGTACCAAGAACTGTACAAAATGTACGGGACCAAAATAAACCATTCGTCATGTTTAAGGCAGGACAACCATAACCTAACTGCGAACCATAAAAATATTTACTAAACACAAACCATATTTACCATAACCATATTTACCATATAAACCATATTAGCTGCGAACCATACTATAAACCAGAACTATAACTATAAACTATACTATATAAACCATACTATAACTACAAACCATATTTACTGCGAACCATAAAAATGTACGGGACAAGGTAGCAAGAATCCATGAAATATGATCCTCGACGCCAACGGGACCATGGGTTGCAGGGGGATTGGGTGGGGAATGTAAAGCAAAATGAGAACATGACAGCTAAATAAAAGCTCACTATATGGCACCTATGTATGGCATGGAACATGGATGCCAATGAGATGCTGGGTTGAAGGGGATATAGGGTGGGGGGTTAGGTTAGGTTAGGTTAGGTTAGGTTAGGTTAGGTTAGGTTAGGCTAGGCTAGGTTAGGTTGGGTTAGGTTAGGTTAGGTCAGGTCAGGTCAGGCTAGCTTAGCTTAGCTTAGCTTAGGTTCTGGTCTATTCTCAGCTAGGTTAGGTTAGGTTAGGTTAGGTAAGGTTAGGTTAGGTTAGGTTAGGTTAGGTTAGGTTAGGTTAGGTTAGGTTAGGTTAGGTTAGGTAAGGTTAGGTTAGGTTAGGTTAGGTTAGGTTAGGATATGTTCTGGACTATTCTGGCCTGCGTGTTTCATAAATGTACCTAAACTCGGTAAGAAACGATTTTGGTTGCTTTATTATTGTTACCTTGGTCCCGTACATGTTTTATGGTTCTTGATAAGCAGAAATATTGTGCTTTCGCTACAACGTAGAAACGGCGCTTGGAAGTCGAGGCAGTGCGGTGCGGGGCGTGCGGCGCTCGGGAGCTCGCTATCCTATTTATTAAAATTCGAGGGTAGGAGCATGATTCTATCTGTTTTGAAATTATTTACGATATGATCCGCCTTAAACGCGACGAATGGTTTACCTTGGTCCCGTACATTTTGTAGAGTTCTTGGTAAGCAGAAATATTGTATTTACGCAACGGCAACGCAGAAATGGCGCTGGGGAGTCCAGGCGATGCGGTGCGCGCGGCGCTCGGGAGCTCGCAATCGAAGTTATTGAAATTCGAAGGTAGGAGCATGATTCTACCTGTTTTGAGATGATTTACGATATGTGCCGCCTTGAACACGACGAATGGTGTGCAATGATTTTTTCTAACGTTAGGTAGGAAAGTACACCTACACCGGTCCCAGAGTGCTCTTTTTCAGAGTATTAGCTCGGGTGACGCTATTTGCAGTCGGTTATTTTAAAGTGGTCATGATGAGTTGTTAGAGTACAGGTCGGTACCTAGGTAGGTACATGACTCATTTAGGACGTCATGCGGGATAACTGACCCTGTTTACTAAGCCTCAGACTGAATGGCTGCGTTAAGATTAGTGTCCCAGTCTTGGGATGTGGTGCTGATGAGAATCAGGCGCAAAATTGGGAGCTTATTGAAAAGTTATGTTTTTACAAGTCTTCTCTTCATAGCACATGGAACACACCTGAGATGATATTTAGTTACAGACCTGGTAATATTGAGGTCACAGACAACTTGCAAATAGTATCTATCTTTCATCCATCAGTTGTTCATAGATAATGCAAGGAAAGCACCATCTTCCACTACACTGATCCCCACCATGCCATTTTCCAGGCACGCTCAGCATATAACTAGATAAAAATTGAGCCAATACAAACCATAGATTTATAGGGAAAGAGAGAAAGAGAGAGACATATATATATATATATATATATATATATATATATATATATAGTGTGGGTGTGTGGGTGTGTGGGTGTATGTATGTGTATGGATACATGTATATATGTGTATTTATGTGTATATATATATATATATATATATATACATAGATGTATGTACATTTATAATACCTTATCAACCTGAACCCTAACTTGAGAACTATCACATTGGTACTTAGGAATGAACGGATGGGTTCTAGTTATCTAGAAGTAATGAACTCTAAGGAGTATACAAGGACCACTCATATTTAGATACCACTGTCATGTACTTTTTTGTGAAAATTGCCAAAAGTCAAAGGACCATGGGTTAGAACAGGTCTACACATCAATGACCAGGAATCACATAGAGATGAGATGAGTTGAGAGGGACAGATTAGAAATTTGGCTATTGCACTGGCCAAAGTGTTAACCTATGTGTGCAAATACCTAGAGACATGATAGTATGTAGACCAGACCATGAATTCAGTCTGTTTTATAGTTGTTTTAGATGAGTGTGGGATCTTAGAAACAAAGACATGATAAAGTGCAGACCAGGCCATGGATTCATTCTGTTTTAGAATTAATTTGGATGCCTGTGGGATCTCAGAAACAGAGACATGGTAGTGTGCAGACCAGACCATGAATTCAGTCTGTTTTGTAATTGTTGTGAATTATTGTGGGATCTTGGAAACCAGAGCAGGTTTGTCTGTCCTAAAAGCTCAGGCTTAAAATGTCTGTGCCTTTTCATTCACACATCCATGGTCATGTGGATTTGATTACCTTGTTGCACTCACCATTTTCCCTTGACTGGGATGGGTTGGAGCCAGTGGCAGCAGCAGTACCAAAGGTCAGGTGGCATCAGAGAAGTAGCATGAACCATGCTGAGCTGTATGGCATGTTAATTCCCTCTCCCTGAAAAGGTCTGCTATTTTTGAGGAGTTCAGGATGGGGTGGTGAGGTCAGGTTCACACAACAAACACTGTGTAGTGGAGCCCTTGATTTCAGAGATCCATCCAATCAAAAGGCTTTAAATAAGCCATTTAACAACTTAGGAAAGTGAAACCAGCTGTTGTACATTGTGAGCCAGTGTGCCATCTGCAACATGTGTGTGGTGAAGCTGGATTCTGCATGGGCTTTGACTTTGAAAAGCTGCAATTTTGGTTCAATGGGTTTGTGCTCAGCTTCAGCTTCAGCTTCCTGTCATTTTAAATGGTTGATTGTGGTTTTGGTGTCAATTTTGCAGTACTTTTTACAGCTGGCTTCAGATTCCATTCTGGCCTCAAATCATTTCTGAATTGTGGCTGACTTTGGCTTCATGTGATCTTGAGGAGTTTGCCATCCTTGGTCATGGCAATTTTTTATACAGTTACATCTTTAATATTCAAGAGCGGTCTTTCCACACATGTTGCAATCCTGTGACATGTATGTGACTTGACAGAGGACAGATTGATTCAGTTTCAAAGCTTGAGCCCAGAAGCCCACCTTCTTCCCCCTACCTGATCAACAAATTATTGGGCATAGCATCAAGAGTGTATGCCGTCTGAACTTTTTCAAAACTGGTGTTATGGAACATCCTTTGACCTAAACCAGGGTAGTTTGGTTCACGAAACCCACCTAGATGCATAGACCAGTTTATTGTGACTAGACTCCTCCCAAACATGAGCCTTTATTGATGGCTATTTTTCCCAGCATTTCTGCAAGTCACTAAAAACTAAGATATTCCAAGATCCTTCACCTTGTCGACCAAAACTGTCAGACCTGGGCAGATCTGGAGTAATCGTGGGCGGGCGATGCCCCCTGTGATTCAGGCTCTCATATATGATGTGCTGACAATTGACGTAAAGGTAACGTGCTCCATTCGCTTATGCCTAGGTGTCATCCACATGGTGGCAACAGTCACATAGGTTGTCACCCTCTCACTCCTCGCCTTGAAAGGCGTGTCGCTGGTCTTATTTGTGTTTAGGTAGCAAGCTTACTTTTCGTTTCCCGTTACTCGAATTTTCTGCCTTCTGTTTAGTTCAATGAAGAATTCATCGAGGTGGAATGGCTGTCAGATTACCAGTATGTTGTGATAGGTTGCACACACTTTTCAATATCTAATAAGGTGTTAAGTAGAAAGATATATATGTTGGAGCATGTGGCAGGTGATAGTGTCGAGCCCTTGAGTGATTTATGAGTTTCGCATGAGTTTCGTTCACGATTCTTCCCTCCTTCTGTTCTCAGGGCGCGCACGACAAAGACACTGCAGTCAATGATAACGCCAGTAATCCTCTTCACTTGTGCTTTTCGACTTCCTGTAATGAACATAGGGCACGATTTGATGGATCCTTGGCGCTGGCAGATACAGCATGACTGAGGACGGCTCACGAGACATGGGCTCGCATGAAGCCGGGATACCGCCGGACCTGGACTATGGCGACAGCGATCGGTGCACCATGTTCATGCCGGCCTTGTACATCCAGCGATACACCACGGTCTGCCAGCTGCTCTCTGACACCGAACACTTCGGCGTGGTTTCCAAGGTAACCAGCTGTGCTTGTAAGTCGGCAATTCGGACGTGATCGCAGGTTTCGAGGACTTGGGCAAATTGTGCTTGAAGTCTGAACTGATAACAAGAATATCTATGTCAAATATAAGTTTCTACCCGGCGTGCAGCTTCCGCAATGGCATTGAACTTAATAATTGTTGGCGTTGATTAAAGTTGCACCATTACCAGTGAGCAATGAACAACTGAGTCCGTCCACGTTTTGTTCCTGAATGTCTTTGTGATGTTGCTAAGGCTCAAGTTCGTGATAATACAGATATATGTACGTATCAATGAGTTTTGTGGAATTAATATTGGCTGAGGAAGGTGTAGCCATGCAGTGTGGAAAGGCTAGAGTATGGATTATGACCTGTTATATTTCTAACAAAGTTGCGTTCCTTGTGAAGGTCCTGGACATTGGATGCTCAGAAATGACGTTCATGCAGTATCTGAAGACTGTCCCGTCGGTGACAGACGTCTCATTGCTGGATATATCGGAGGTAAATGTCCAGGTGATGTATGTATTGCACGCTTCGTCTCTTTGATATTGTGTATCATCTGGCGCTCCGGTGTAGCTCCGCTTCCGCTTCGCTTCCTAACACTTAATGCTGTCTGACGGGATGTGACTGGTGCTATTGCATGATATGACGCCAGCTGCGTGTGATCCATAGTCTTTGATCTTATTTCGTCACCGCTGCACCGGCGGGCGGTGACGAAATAAGAACCAGTCGCCGCTCGATATGCTGTCACGTCACTAACCGGGAGTCATACCTCACCGTAACGTGGCTGACTTTATCCAACGCACGACTCCTCATGACCCCCCTCATCCAATGCATGCATGACCCTCTGCAGCGCGACCGACAGCACCTGTCCGTGAGACGCCGTCTCTCTCCGTTCCTCATGTACTGGCCGTAACTAGGGCGACGGCCCTACAGGAGACGCTGCAACGTCACCTGCGGCGGGCGGCGCCAGGCGCGCGGGACCGGCTGGAGCGGCGCTCCCGGCCGCTGCGCGTGCGCGTCTTCTGCGGTGACGTCACCCAGTCGGATGCCAGGCTACGCGGCTGCGATGCCATCACCGGCATCGAACTGTGCGTCTGGTCGGCAGGCGCCGGCATGTGCCGTGGGCGGCGATGACCGGAGTGTGGTTCGGGTCTGTCGGGATTGTAGGCAGCGAGGGACAAAGAACATCAGAGCTCAGATGCCGTCTCGCGGCGTTGTGATGTTCTCCGTGTTCCGACGTTGTCGATACCTGCAGTGGGGCACTGCGTGTGTCCTGTGCTCCCCTGGCACTTGCGGTCCGTGTGCTGGTGGTACAGAGTACCTGTAGCTCCCTGTGCTGTTCATCCGCTGCTCGGGGCTGCCACGCCGCGAACATGGGAGCTCACATACTCGACGCTATGAGTACCTGAACTCGTGCGCCCTGTGCTCCGACAGTATCGAGCACCTGGAGCCGGCCGTGCTGCAGGCGGTGCCGGCCGCCGTGTTCGGCTTCCTCCAGCCGCGAGTGGTCGTCCTCACCACCCCGAACGCCGAGTTCAACCAGCTGTTCCCCGACTTCTCCGGGATGCGCCACTGGGACCACAAGTTTGAGTGGACCCGGGCCGAGTTCGAGCAGTGGTGGGTGATGCGCCGGATTGTCGCGCTCGTGCTTGATCCCTTGAGGACGGCCACCGACGTTCACAGCGGGGCGACCGCTGGGGTACATGCGTGAATCCACAAATGCAGACCACACTGGGAGCTGGCGCGCGTGTTGTGGCCGGGCGTGCTACAGCTACGATTAGCGTGCTACAGGAACGGTTGATTCCCAAGGCTTGCAATGCAATGTTTCCATGTTGCAAATCTGGGTAAAACCACGCCCGAACAGGGGCTCGAACCCTGGACCGTTAGGTTAAAAGCCTAACGCTCTACCAACTGAGCTATCCGGGCCCGGAGGGCCGCGGGAGGTTGTGTTGTTCAAATGGCACGAGCGCGTCGGACGTGCACGGCATCATAGCCGATTAATATCATCGATCTGCCGCTCACTTCGCCCGAAATCCGGGCCTATATGAGGAGCAGATAGAAAGGTCCCGGCCACGCTACCACCCACGTCAATGAACGCAAGAACTGGCCTCGAGGAGACGCTGGTACCCAGATGCTGCCTTAAATCGTGTAGAGCTGGTTTGGCCCCGTGTCGGCCAGGTCGGCGCGTTGTGCTGTGGTGCTGCAGTGCGTGTGTGCAGTATAACCGATAGCCTTTTACAGTGACCCCGACAGGGCGGACCGTCCGGCACTGGCTTTGGAGTCACGATCATGCAGAGACGTGTCGTGTGTCGGCGCTGAGTTGGGAGATCGGGCGCCCCGTCAGCTGTGAGGCCCAGTAACTTTGGTACGGGACCCGAAAACGTGACGCCTGTCATGATCCATTGCCGGGTAACGAGACTTTGAAAACGTGCCGACTCTCATGATCCATTGCCGGGGTACGATACGTGATCATCCCGATAGTTGCGGTGGTCCTGTCTCTGGGTCTTCGACAGGGCTGGTGCAGGGCTGTGGGTCAATATGTGATCAACCAGTTGTTGTGAAGATCCATTGATGGGATGCGAGGTTAGCTCGCGTTGACACTAGTGGGTTTCCGATACCGCAGTACGAGATATAATCACCGCCATAATTAGGATGGCTTGTTACTGTGGTACTCCATCCACCACAGGAACCGCCGCGTACTGTCAGCGGTTTCGGTTGAATGCAGGTGATCGATCTCGCGAGCCCTGATGCGGTTTTCCACAGGGATGCCGTGCCTTGGTGACGTCGTTTTTTTTTTTTTGCTCTTTCGAGGCAGCGCCGTTCAAGGCGCCGGATGTGGTTTTGACGAGGTTAACCCGCCAAAACCGCGCCCGAACAGGGGCTCGAACCCTGGACCGTTAGGTTAAAAGCCTAACGCTCTACCAACTGAGCTATCCGGGCCCTGGCCGTGGGGATTGGGTCCATAAAGTGTACCAGTCGCGAACACAACAGCCCTGCTGGCAAAACGGAGGTTAAGTGTGTATGTTGGTGCCTGCCGAGCGTGCTTCAGATCTTCGCCTTACGGCGTGCCACTGGACACCCGGATCTGAATGTAGACAGAGCGTGGCACGCAAGGTTAACAGTGACATTCCGGATGGCCGTGCTCGCCTCTGACAGCGTGTGCGCCCGGTCCGGCAGGTGCGGCGGCGTGGTGGCCCAGTACCCCGAGTACGCGGTGTCGTTCGCCGGCGTCGGTGCACCGCCGGCCGGCTCCGAACACCTGGGCTGTTGCACCCAGCTGGCGGTCTTCTGGCGTCGCGGCGAACGGGCTCCGGCCGCCGCCGCCGAGCCGGCCACGGCGGCGGCGGCGGCGGCGGCGCCTGCCGCCCAGCCGCAGCCGCACCGGCTCCTCTCTGACGTGCAGTTTCCGTTCGAGACGCGCGAGACGCGCCTCTATAATGACGTGCTCTTCTGGAAGCGACAGATGGGCTACGGGCGCGTGGCGGGTTCCGAGCACCCGCACCGCGAGGAGCTCATCTCTCTACAAGCCATCATGGCCGTAGCGTCGGTGGCCGAGGCGGCGCGCTCACTCGACGAGTTGGTGGCGATCCTGCGCGAACGGGGCGAGCCGGTGGTGGTGCGCCACGGCGAGCCGCACGTGGTGTACCGCGCGCCCGTCTCGTCCAGCGGCTCGGAAGAAGAGCTGGCGGGAGGTGACCTGCGGCCGACAGAGGCGGACGCGGCGGCCGCCGCCCAGCCTGGCGAGGATCGGGCGGCCGGCGACGCCCGCTACCACGAGGACTGGGACGGGGAGCTCGACTGGGAACAGGAGATCATGGAGAGGTGAGAATTGATGGGACTTGGTATCGTTGGGAGGTGAGGCTGAGGCTAGATGTAAGGGAGTATGGAGAGGTGAGAATGTGAGGGACGTGGTATCGTTGGGAAGTGAGGCCGAGGATAAGGGAAAGAGATCATGGCAAGGTGAAAATGTAATGGGACGGGGTGTAGTGGTGAGTTGGGGCCAAAGCTAGCGGCAGGAGATCATGGAGAGGTGAGAATGTGAGATGGCATGGTATTATGGGGATGTGGGACGGGCTGGGGACTGGAAATTATGGTGGAGGCAATGACGGACGCTGAAATTGAGTTAGTTCGTCATTAGGTGTCGCTGGCGATCTCGAGCCCTCCGGCGGTGATGGGGGTATGTCGTCCATAGTCATTGTGCGGTTTCCCCTCGACCACCTGCCAGGCGAACTTGCTCTCAGTTATTGAGGTAATAGAAAAGCGTCTGCTCTTACGCTTTGGAAGGTTGGACGGAAACAGTGTTTGCGTATCACTGGGGATCACCTCAGCTGGTCACGATACAAGGGCATTCACTGATCCAAATATCAGCTGGTCACGATACACGGGCATTCACTGATCCAAACATCAGCTGGTCACGATACACAGCCATTCAATAATTCAAACCATTCTCAAAATGGCACTCGCATGTGCCTGCTCCTTAGCTTTCACCCAGACGCGGCTCCCAGATAAGATTTGCCACCCCCGTTGCGGTGTTGTCTGCACGGCCGGCGCGTCTGGCGAGCCGGACAGCACACGGCGGCTGTTGTGTGCGGCGAGCCCCACCGTCGTTCGTGAGCAGCGCGTGTCTTACAGCCGCTCCTGGGACTCTCACACAGGCTGCGACTGGGCCGCGCCGGCCGGCCCCGCCCCGGAGTGGTGTGATCCGGCCGCAGCCCGGCGCCGCTCCGCCCGTGGCGACTCAGGTACGCGCCTCCCGCCGCCTCAGCCGCGGAGCTGACGTCCCGCACCCTGCGGCGACTCTTCCGTCGCGAGATGACGGCGTGCCTGCGACGCGGGCGGCCGTCCGCGACATCTGGCCTGTGCGCTGTGAAGGGTTTACTCTGTGTTGGCTGGGTGAACTGATGTCATGCGGTGGCAGGTGACGGGAGAAGGGGGGGGGGAGGGTGTGATATGGGCTTATGCCAGGCGGTGGCAGATGAGGAGGGGCTTATGATTGATGTCGGGCGGTGGCATGTGATGGTTTGCTGACGATGGACGTATGTCGGATAATGGCAGGTGACAGCAGCTGTTGGCAACACTTGTGCCTGCCCAAGGCGATGATGTCATTACCGATCTGTTTTTTTCAGACCGCCGTGGGCACCGGCTGACGGTCCTGCCCGCCACGCGCCTCATCCTGGAGGTTGTGTGCACTTGCTTTCCTGGCAGCTGGATGATACCTTTGGCGACGCTGCTGACACCTATCGCTGCCGGGTTTCACTACAGTTGATGTCGGGCGTCGCCGTCGAGCTTACCTCTGACATGACTTCTGTGATGGATAACGACGGATAGTGAGCGTGTTGTCGCGTTTTCGGGACGGAAGAGTGCTGGAGATGACCCAGAGAGCGTGGTCCATGGACCAAGTGTGCATGTGCGTACCGATTCGCCCGATAGCCTTTCACTAGTGTGCCTAAATTGTAGCAGGCTCCGAGCATGGTCATGTGGATGGTATTTCACTTTTTTTCATCGTTTTTTCATCGTTAACGAATCTAGAAAGTTCTTCAGTTCTGCAGATCTGGTGCACATTGAGACAATGGCTCAAAGTGATTATTTCGTTAAATTGCAAGGATTGTTTTACGCTTGTTTGTTTGTTGCCAGGTGTGGTGCTGAGTATGGTGCTGACATATTAAAATCATGGTGGCATTGGCACCGAAAACGCAGACAAATCAGTGCCGTGTGTTTAGTTGCACTGCTGTAAGCGCACAAAGGTGCATGCAGACAGTCAAGATCTCAATACAGTCACATTCAAGCAAGCGACTCATGTGTCTCTGGCGAACATTATTGGTTGGCACCTCCAAGCGGGATGAAAATCTTCCTCCTCGTGAAACTCAACGAACGCGCGCCCCGGCTATTGTTTGTTCGTCACACCGATCAAATTGGTCTCACTGTCACACCAGCTTTTGGAAGCTCCTGATGAACCTGAGCAGGCGAACATCCTGGTGAGGACATAGTTCGCTTAACGTTTTCATGTGACCTTGGAAGCAGTTTGAACACATTGTTCGGTGGAAGCTGAGGCATCTGTGAATGTTGCTGCCAAAATAGCTCATCCGCTTCCCACCCGCATGTTTCGCTGGCCACCGGCCCGCGCTTAAACCCGCACGGAAGGCATTTATGCACCCCGGCGCGGTTTTTCATTCGTGGCATGATTACATTTCGCCAGCCCAGCGGCAAGCATCGGCGCTGGAAATCCAATAAAGCTGCCGACCATCTCAAGACAATCGCTCACGCCGCGCGCCGCGCCCGGGCGTTCGGAAAGGGATGGCGGGTTGCACTCGGGGAGCCGGCTGTACGGTGTGTGATCAACAGCTGTAGAGATGCTCTGGCCAAATGTCCAGGTTGCATCATGGTGCATGAACCCGAAGATTGGGAGGCGTGGTCTAGGTGTGGCGGACACGTTGGTGGGAGGCCTTCTACTATCCTCATTTTAATTTCGAGGATGTCGGTTTACCTTGATCAGATGCAGAGGGTTCAGTGGGTAGAAGCTGTTTGCGTTTCAGTGGGAAGTCAAGGCGCATCCCATTTCCCGGTCTTCGACCCCCTTGTATTTTTAAAGGGCATCATCCCCGTAGGAACTAGGGATGATGTGGGTTAGAAAACAGCAAGGGAAAGGCAACTCGTGTCCTCGTCAGGGAAGAGCAAAAATATGCTCGATCGGTTCAGTCGGAAAAAACATCGCGGGGCATAAGGGTACCTTATGTCGCAGCGCCGGGGCATCAATCCCTGCTTAAACACTTGGAACACACGCAACGCAGCGGTGTGCAGGAAGCGCATGCATCACGACAGTAGCGCGGGCAGGGGGCATAGGGGGAACGCAGCCCCCTCCCTTAGCTACGATTAAGGACCCGATATCAACACCCGAAAGGCCCCAGAGACCGGCCGAAGGTTACAATCAGGGGCCCGGTCCGCAGGGCCACCCGCTCCTATGCCAGCTGGAAGGAGCTGCGCGCTGATCAAGGGCCTCCTGAGTCGATAAGGGCGTTTGTTGTTCAGACACCACCAGTACCGCACAGTCAGCTCAGTGGCGTCACGGGCCTGTGGGCTATTTCACAGGCAGGAACGAAGCCGGAGCCAGCAACTTACATTGTTTGGGGCCGCAGCGTCTGTCAGCGTCTCATAGCGCTTAACAGGGGCCCTGTGTTGGCACGGGACTCCGAGTCGGCCAGACGCAGTGTTGGAAGTGGACCGGAGAACCTTGAGGGCATGCGAAGTCCGACGATCAGGGTGCCGACTGGAGACCCTAAAGGCACGAAGGGATGCTGGGAGTCTTATTGGGGGCCCCCGGTCTAAGAGGACGGGCCCTTAAGGGCCCTTGCGCCGATCGCGTCCCTTGAGTCGACATGGACCTGTACGTCCGTTAGGCACCACCAGTACCGCACAGTCGGCTCCGTGTCGGTATGTGCCTGAGAGCCCAGTTCCCAATCAGCTATGAAACCGGGCCCGTGATTCTTATTGGTCGAGGCCCCTGTGCCTGCCAGGACCCACAGCGCCTAACAGGGGGTGCTGTGCTCACAAGGGGTCCCGTGCCGACCAAAGGAAGTGTTTGATGAGGCTCGAAGAGGGGCCTGGGTGACCCACCGGTGCGGACGATCAAAGGCCCGGCTGGAGGACGTAACGTCCCGAAGCACTGTAGGTCGCATAAAAAGTTGCGGCCCGTGAGGCCGTGACCTAGAATATCAGTCCGAGGTCCTCTTGCACCGTTTGAGGAACCCCTGAAACAATGCGGATGCTCAAGTAGTCCAGAGACCACCGACACCAAACAGCCGACTTCATGTCCGTCCAAGCCCTTGAAGCATGTTTCCCAGGCAGGAACGGGGCCGAAGCCCGTGATTTGCAATGTCCGGGGCCCCTGACACAGCAAGGGGCTCTTGCGTCGGTCAGGAGCCGCGGTGCCTAACGGGGTACTGTGGCGGCAATCGGCCCCGAGCCGAAACGGCGTTTGAGGGCGCCCGAAGAGGAGCCGAAGGGTTTCTCGAGACCTAAGACCAAGGGCCAGATTGGAAGGCTGAAGAGCCCAAGGGGTTACATTAAGGACCCTCCCATAGAGCCATGACCTCAAATGTCAGTAAGAAGACCTCTTGAACTGATTGGGACCTTTGAAACAGAGCGTTCATCTATTTCAGTCAGAGGTCACCAACAATGAAAAAGTCAGCTCTGCGTTGGTCTGAGCTCTTGAGTCCCCATTTCCCAAGCAGGGACAAGGCCGTGCCCACGATTTGCATTGGTCGGGGCCCTGTATCGTGCAGTATCCGCAGTGCCTAACAGGGTATTCTGCGCCAACAAGGGGCCTCTAGTCGGTCAGTGGAAAATTTGCTCAACAGGGGTGGGCACGGAACCCCGAATGATAGAGGGCCTCTTGCATTGGTGGGGGCCCTCTTACAATGGAAGGAAACATGAGAACTTATGATGAGTGCTCACATTGAGGCAATGGAAGGGTCCTATACAATTCAGGGCCCACAGACCAAACGGTGGGCCAGGGCTGAATCCAGGATTTCGTCGAGTGGGAGGCACGTTGTGGGTCCCATAAAGCTTAGACCCCCACCCAAAAAAAAAGATCATCGAAGTCCAGCCATCAAATTTTGAAATTTAAAATATGACATTTTTACATGGAAGCCCCACTTACTGTGCGCATCCCTACAAAACTAGGCGCGCTACATGGAGCTTATTCATGTTCTCCAAGTCATGGAGAATCCTGTCATTTTGAGGCCATTTTTTCGGAAAAGCTGGCAAAATAAGACAAACTGGCTTGCAAATGTCATTCGATTCAAGCACGAACTTCATTCCAGGCATATTTACAGTTAGTCGGCTGGTGGAGCTGCTGGCTGATGACTAATGCAGAGTTTTTGCTTTGTTTCTCCTGAAGGAGTACAAAATATTCTACCATTAACAGGCGCTCGGGTGGGAAGGGTCAAATTGGTCCTCCCGAAGGCTTTCCGGAATGGTTTCCGAACGGAGTGGCGTAGCCACGCCAAATTTCGCACAGCTGTAGGCAATTAAATGGCCAATCGTCTGGCAGCAAAACTCGAGATGTGCCTTGTAAGGTCGCTGACCTATGGCAGGTCAAAGTCAGGCCACTGTTTCAGCGAAGGTAATTTCTAGGGAATCATTCAATCTGATCCAACAAGGGAGTGTTAGACGAATCCATACATCTCTGGAATGTTTTCTTAGGAAACACAACAATTGAATGAACAAATTACGTTGACCTAGGGTCAGTTATGAAAGTCAGACCAAGGTTAAAACCAGCCTGTGTTATTACTCTAGGGCTTGTCGTAAGGGGTAGTTTTTGGCGTCCACTTGGAATTTATTGATAACCAGAACCGCATTATACACCTTCCACGGACTTCTTGGACGTCAGAATAGGTCACTGACCTAGAATGAACCGGGTCAACATTTTGTTTTTAGGAACATACTGCCTAGCGTAATCTTTGTCGCTTGTCCAAATGCAAAACTCAAAGCGACTTTGTATGATTTTGGTCACCATGACCTTCAAAAGGTCAAACAAGGTCTGAGCAAGGGGAAAGAACTAGAGACCAACATGAAGGCCCGCTGAGTGACAGTATACCCCGGCATATAGGGCCCCAACAAAAGTGTATAGAGCCTTTCGGGCCCAAAGGCATCCAATGTTGTTGTTTTGTGTTCAAAAACTACCTCCGTTAGCGTGGTCATGGGTTCCTTCAGAGCCTCTGAGTCCCCTAGGAGCACAAGGGGAGCACAACTGTGCCCCCTCCCCCCACTCCCTCTCTGGATCCACCATTGGCCCGAGCAATTTGATAGACGAGCTCCGACAGGAACATGGGGCCATCCGTTCAAATAAGTACTCTGGGCACAGTATGAGGGGGGGGGGGGGGGGAATGACGGAGTGTGCTCGCGTGCAGGTTAACAGGTAGGGCCCAGACAGCAGTGTGCGACCCTCCATTCAAATAGGATATACTAAAGACCCAATTTAGATGCCTCCCAAACAATCAAGTGCGCCAGAACAGATTATCAGAAGGGGTCCGACAAGAGCGAGGCCCCATATTCAAATAGAAATACCCAAGACACAATATGGAGGGCCCCCGAACGATCCAGTGTACCAAAGCAGGGCAACAGATGGGGTCCCCAGACGGGAGCAAAGGGCTCTCCATTCAAATAGGAAATACCCAAGACACAATGTAAAGGGCCCAGGGACAGGCCAATGATTTTTTCAGTGGTTGCTATGCAATACTGTGGGGCCTCTAGACTTTTGGGGCACCTTCCAAAAAATATTATTGCATCTCGGTCATTAAATCTTAAGATAAATGATATAAAACACACATTCATATATATATATATATATATATATATATATATATATATATATATATATATGCGTGTATGATAAATACGGGAACCAATCTCATTAAGCACAGCTCTATAAAGCTAGGCGTGCTACACATGTGCATACATGGAGATCATTCATTTTCTACATATCATGCTAAATCCTGTGATTCTGAGGCTAAGTGCTTCGGAACAACAGGCAAAATAAACTCAAGATGGCTGCTAACTACCATCAAAACCTAGCACAGACTTGATTCCTAGCTTGTATACGTCTGGCTGGCGGGGCGATATAATCAGCTGTCGGCTGATGATTGATGCAGGATCTTTATTTTGTTATAAAGGAAGTCAAAACATTCTAGCATTCAAAATACGTTAAGAACGTGATGCACGAGTATAATAAGTGTCACACGCTCAAAGGCCAAGGGAAATAACACATATGACGCTGGCGGCACATAACATTT